GAAAAACAAATGCATGGCTGGGCATGGTGGCACGTTACCTGTAATCCCAGCAACTCAGGAGGCTGAGGCAAGATTGCGAGTTCAAAACCCACCTCAGAGCTGGGGATGTGGCTCAAGCGGCAGCGCGCTTGCCTGGCATGCGTGCGGCCCGGGTTCGATCCTCAGCACCACATACAAAAACAAAGATGCTGTGTCCGCCGAAAACCAAAAAATAAATATTAAGAAAAAGTTCTCTCTCTTAAAAAAAAAAAAAAAACCCACCTCAGCAACTCAGCAAGACCCTGTCTCAAAATAAAATATTAAAAAAAGAGACACTGGGTTCAATCCCTGGTACTAAACAACAACAAAACCCAAATGCATATTGCATCTCTTTCTTTGCCTCATTCTTCCTGAAGCTGTTGGATTTTTTGTTTTTGTATTATTATTATTATTATTATTTTTTTGCAGTGCTGGGAATGGAACCCAGGGCCTTGCATATCCCTTTACTATTGTGCTACACCTTCCAGCCCCTGGGGCTGCTGTTTACCTGGCTTTATAATCCATCTTTATGAATGACTTTGGTGGCTGTACAGTCTGCCCTACAGATCCTAGTTCCATCCCTAAAGAACAACCTTCACCTCAAAACAGGCCCCTTAGAATTACAGTCTCATCTTCCAAAATGACTTCAGTTCTTTCCTATTTTCTAATAATTCCATCAAGCCCCAAACACAGTGAACTATCTTGTGAAGCTGACTTCACCAATTCTGTCTGACAAGTGGTGGATGGAGGTAAATGGGCAGGTGGTCTTAAAACTTGCTTTGATTTTTCCCATTGCTACTGGAATAAAATCCAAAGTCCTTACTGAGACTTGTAGGCTCCAGCTGTAATCAGGTTCCAGTCTTTTTCCAAACTCAACTCTTTCCCTGGCTCTCCTTGACCAGGAACTTTCTCTCCCTGGATCCCAGGACCTCTGAAGGTTCCATCCCTTCTCCAGGGCCTGCCTTCTCCATCTGGCATCCCACAATATGCCTTCCTTTCCTTACAGCTTTACCAGAATATATACTTCTTTATTCTTACTTTCTCTCCCCCAAACCATGTACATGAAAGCAAAGATTATGTCAGCACCTGGTTTAGTGACCTGCACTTAGTAAATGTCCAATAAATATTTGCCAAATTCATTAAAAAAAAAAAAAGCGGGGTCCTCCATCTCCACCCATCTCCCTCACAAATCCTTCTCCCCAAAGCTCTGAATGGTTCCCACACAAATTCACCCCAGTTTAACTTCAGTCTTCTACAAAGACTTTCTGAACCCCTTTCCCCACCATTATCTGCCCTCCAAATTTGCCATCCTGTTAAATCCCACCAACCGATCCATTTAGACGTTCATTCGCCCTTCAATAATCCGGAGTGTACCCATCTCTCGGCCCTTCCCTCCCTCCAGTAACCCCTAAACTCTCTTTCACTATACACATCCCTCTCGCTCCAGGACCCAGCTCCTTAAACCCTGCACCCTCTGCTTAGTCCCATAAGGCTCGTCCAACCCATTCCATTTTATTCCCCTACATCCCTCGTCCTTGGAAACCTTCAGGCCTTCTCAAGCCCCCATATTTGTCTGCACCTCCTCCGCACCCAGATGTTGGTCCCAGTCCCCTTCTCGCCCTAGTTGCCCCAGTCCTCCTCCTCGGCCCGCCCCGTTCAGTGGCCCCCGACAAGCCCGCAAGGAGCACCTGGCCTGCGCCTCGTCCAGGCTCTGGTCAGTGATGGCCATGATCTGCTGCAAGACGTCGCTCGTGTCAGGGCCTGGCGGAGGCCCGGGAGGCGGGTGGCGCGGGGCAGGTGGTGGCTGCGCGGGGCTAGGCGAGCGCAGCGGGGCGTCCATGGGCGGCGCGGCCAGGCGGGAGCTGAGGAGGAGCCGCCGGGCCTGGAGCACTCGCGCGGGCGGCGCAGCCAACCGCCGCTGCCTATGGACTCCGCCCCCTTCGCTGGCAGCCAACCACATGCCGCTGCGCACCTTGAAGACACGCCTCCACGTCGCTGTCAGCCAACCAGGCTCCGGGCACCGCCCCCATGACACGCCCCGAACTGACCCCTGTCAACTGCCCAGGACGTGCTCGGGTGTTGCGGAGGCACTTCCCGCTCTCACCCTCTTCCAATCTGAGTTAGTGCAACTCCGGCTCCTTTAGGCTTCTGAGGCTTGCACCCCCTACTTCTCCGCAGTACATGCATTCTTCTCAGAGTCCCCGCTTCTCCACCGAGAGCCCTCAGGGACCCCACTTCTCAAGAATCCCGTTCCTCCAGACGCCCCCGCAAATTCTCAGAACTTTCTCCTGAGACCCCACTCCTCAGAGACCCTCACATCTTCTTAAAGCTCCCACTTCCTTAAAGTCTCCAGTTCCTTTTCAGGCCCCCACACTCTTCCTCCAAGTCACTTCCTCCTTAGAACCCCCCACACCTCTAAGAGCCTCACCGACACACCCCAAATCCATGACCCCTGCTGGGTTTCCTTTTGCTCCCCTCAGTGTCAGTCCCATCAGGTGAGTCACTAGGGTTTCTGGCTCTTCCACTGAGCCTTTTATGTCCCTTTCACCTGGCAGAGGGATCCAGGTGTGTGTGTGGTCAGCCAGGTCAGAAGTGTGTGCTTTTCTCCACTACAGAATTAATTTATTCATTTTCCAAGATAACAGCTTATGAGTGACCTTGCCTGTTTGTTTTTTTTTCTTCAGAAGAATCGTTTTTATTATTTATTTTGGTGTATCTATTTATGGAATACGTTGATCATGTATTTATAAACTAAAAAGTTATTTCCCAAGTATTGGAAAATAAGGAGAAGCCTCCCTACCACCAACTGTTCAATGATTATCCTTGTCATTTAGCATCATCCTAACTCCCTAGCCATATCCTTTCCACATAACCTTACCTGTTTATTCATTCTTTGTCTACAGCATTCTGGGCCTGGAAAATGCTAGCACATGGTTACTGGATGATATGCTGAGTGCCTCCCCCACAGTTGCACTCCAAATTGAAGAGAATCATCACAGGTCTTTGTTTCTAGCCTTTAGAAAAGGATTCTCAAGTGAGGAAAAAGGAACAGAGTGGATGTGAACACCTTCTCTAAATTCATTCCCAGTTTGATCTGAGGACAGACTTCAGATGCAGGCTCAGTAGAATCCTCAGCCTTGATGGGAAACCTCAGGACCAGGGGCGATCTTCCCATTGTTGCTGGAGAGGAAATTCAAACATCATGTGATATGACTGGATTGCAAGACACTCCACAGGGAATGGAAATGAGTCATATTGGCCTGGTGTAAGAACAACAAGGAAAGCGTGCGACGAAGGAAACCCAACGCTTGGCCCCAATAACAGGAGGTAATAGAACACATGGAGGTGCCCCATACAAAAGGTCACTCTCTGATGCAAAACTACACAGGAAGCCTGATAAGTAGTGGCCTTCAGAGAACACTGGGGCAGGGGCACTGAAAGCTTCAGGGACTAGCAGAAATAAAACCTGATGCCACCTGGCAGAGAAGAGAAACCAAGAAGGAAAAGCTGATAGCACAAAGTTCTAAGGGAGAACTTGGAGGATGCTGATTAAAAAGTAGCCAGAGCGTGAAAGAGTTGATTTTGGAGGTCATCAGGTGTGCCCAGCCTGTAGGAATTGATTGGCTGCCTCAGAACCCAAAGTAATGTCTGTCCATTAGACCTGGAGCTTCATGGAGGCAGGGCCTGCATCTTTAATTGGCATATATCTGGTTGAGTGCCTGGGTAGTCACTTCTGGAGGCCCTAAGAGCTGTGATATCTACTTGAACCCTTGAGAAGAACCAAGTATCTTGGTTTATTCTTGGTTCTTCACAGAAGAGGGGATAAGTTCTCCCAGTGGGAAACCTAGATCCATTTAACGTAGAAGGACCTAGATGTTTTTGGCTCACCTGAAATGGATGCTTTAATGGTTTAAGACTTTGGCTCCTCACCAGGCATGGTGGCGGCACATGCCTATAATCCCAGCTGAGGCAGGAGGAGCATGTGTTCCAAGCCAGCCAGGACAACTTAGGAAGACCTGCCTCAAAAATGGTGGGGGATGTGGCTCAGTTGCAGTGTACTTGCCTCCTATGCACCAGGCCCTGGGTTCCATCCCTAGTACTCAGACAAGAAGAAAAGAATTTGGCCTCTGATGAGAGCTGGATTCAAAGTCCTGCTGTTATTCAGCATGTGAATCTGAAGTAGGAATATAACCCTGTCTCCTCACTGGTGAGGTAGGAACAACCCAGTTCTAGGCTCATTGTGCCTGGCAGGGTGCCTTTCTGGACACTGAGATGGGGCTCAACATGGGCATGGTACATCTGAGGACTTGGGTCTGTGGGTGAGAGGGGGAGTGTCCAGCTGAGTTTTGACTAATTCCAGCCTTTGTGGGAATCTGAAGCCCTTTCTCCAGGATCCCTCTAGTCTCTTGATGCAGTTCTCTGCCTTACCCAAACTGTGTAACCATGGGCCAGATCTCAACCTCTCTGAACTACTGTCCTCACATGAAAATAAGTATAACTCATGAACTACAAGATGCAGGTGATGGTTAAACAGGGCACCTAAAGTGCTTGTAAATGTGCCAGACAGCAAAGGAGCATGAAAAATGGCAACTCTCCAATTCTGCATCCTGCTGAGTGGAACTCACTAGGTTAAATGTAGGTGGTGAGACAGGTGAGGAGATGGAGACAGCTGTACATGTGATCTTCAACAATCTGGACTGACAAAAGGATAGGTGGCAGCAAGAGGGCTCACATAGACCACAGACCACCCCAGGCTGCAGAAGATGAACATAGGGAGGGGGACAGATAGAGAAAACAATAACACCACTAGGAAATAGAAGCAAGACTGGAACAAGAGAGACAGAATAACAGCTAGCCAGTAACCAAAGAGGAAGGAGAACAGGGCTGAGGAGATGCCATGTTGCCTAATAGGCTTGAGCCTTGATACACAATTTCTGGACACAGGAACAGACCTATTGAATTGGTGACAAAAATGCTTTGGAGACCTTAGAGTGGAATGGTTTACTCCCTGATTCATGTCCTCCCTGTGGATCCTGGATCCCCTCAATACTAACGGAGATAGGCCAGCCTCTGCAAAGGTCCACAAGCCTTTCCCAGTTTATGCTCAGCACCCCTCAGGCTGTGCTGCTAAAAATTAGCCTCAGAAAGATATTGTGTCCACAGTCCATCCCTGTTATCCTGTCACACTGGGCAGCATAACCTTGGAGGGCCTTCATCTCCTCTACTTTTCCCACTCACAGCACCATATAGGAGAAACCAGTCCACAGGGTTTACCAGGGATGTGCAGTAAAAGTACAAAAATGTTCTGTTAAAAAACCCTAAAACCTGAGATGATTGAAGAGCCAGATTCCCAGACACCATCTGAGTCCTCCCAGGTGCTTGGAGATGTCCCCATTTCCCAGTACCCTGGAGCATGCAGAGTTGTGTGTGCCTGGGGAGTGCTGCTGTGCTATGCCAGACCATGGGTCTGTCTTTAAGTCTGTCCTGCTGGTTGGGACAAGCCAGGTGTATCCATGAGTTGTCAAAGAGCTGCATCCTGTCCAAGGTAGCTAAAGAGTGGAGTCCATCAGAGAGTGACCATTCTCAGGAAGCATGATGCGGGTGCTGGCACCTGTCCGGGCAGATGATGTATAGTGGGCAGACTTGTGGGAGGACCGGCGGAGGCACATACAGCAGAGTAGGCGACGGAAGGTACGGCGCATCTCAGCATCTCGGCATGAGTATACTGCAGCATTGACCAGTGAATTGGACTCAGCCAAGAGCAGGAAATACTTCTCCACAGCCAGCACATTGCAGGACTTGCAGTCCAGACCATCCAGGAGCAGCACCACCTGGCCGGGTGTCCAGCAGACCACAAATGCCCCTGCAGGATAGAAGCCAAAGTGAGCAAAGCAAGGTGTCAGGAGGCCTGACACTCAGGGCTAGGGCAGTCCCCAGAGCTCAAGCCATAACTGTGCAGTATGTGTTCCAAGAGCTGCCTGTCTTGCTGGCTTGGCAGTGTGGCAGACAAAAATACTAAGAGGGGATACCTTTCTCTGATTTGTCTGACTGAAGGGATGTCTTTCCAAGGTAGTCAGGCCCCTGGAGGCTTCTATATGGAGATTTGTTCAATGAGGGAAAGGAGGTTATTGTGGCAGGATGGGTAGGGTGAGGGATAACTGGAAAGAGTTGATCTTTGTTCAGGGGTGGTAGAGTATATCATCACCCAGTTCCTTCTATATACAATTGCCCTGCTAAGAACAAAATCTGGCCCTGTTTGGGATCTTCAAGGCCTTCCTGATCTTCCCTTTCCTTGCAGGCTAACCACATGGACTCTGGTCTGGTCTTGCCCTGGGTTTATACTTTCTGTTTTCTCTCTTGGAACTCAAGAACATCCCCCACCCAAACTAGGCCCTACCATCAATTCAATCAGGTCACCTATTCAAGTCATTGTTTTGCAGGAAACAATGGTTAGGTTAGGTCCCAGTGGCCCAGGGCAGGTTGAGTGTCTCACTCACCAAGGATGATGACAACAGTCTTGACCAGGCTGAGTGTGGTCTCCCGGTAGCGGGGGTGGCAGCTGACATGCTCGGCCATGCGCTGCACTCGCCTACGCACGTAGAAGAAAATGCGGGTGTAGACAGCTACCATGAGCAGGAAGACAAGCAGGCTGGAGAGGGCCCACACAGCTAGGTAGGAGCGGCTGAGCAGGGGAGCCATGCGGGAACAGCGGTCCAGGGCACAGAGGCAGTGCCAGGAGTGGGCAGGCAGCAGTCCTAGGCCCAGTGCGGCAACCCACACAACCACAATGAGCATGACAACCCGCCCACGCGGCAGGCGGCTGTGCAACTGCACAGCCATCACACTGCGGTGCCGCTCCACGGCAATGGCCAACAGTGTGGCCACTGATGCTGTCAGGCTTGTGTCCAGCAGGCCTTGTCTCAGGAACCAGCCCTTGAGCGAGAGCCGGGCCGTGCGTGGGCCCGTGTGGAACATGAGGAAGAGGTAAGCCACACCAGCAAACAGGTCTGCTGCAGCCAGGTTGCCAAGCAGGTAGTAAATGGGCTGGTGGAAGCGGCGGTTGGAGGCAATGGCTGCAATAACCAGCAAGTTAGTCAGTAGCACCAGCACACTGACAGTCAGCCCCAGTGCCACCACCACCACATCCTTGGGCCGCCAATAAGAGCTGAGCTCTTTGCCACTGTTGTTGTAGAAAAAGCCGATGGTCTCATTGTAGTAGCACTGGCCCATGGTGACCATCTGGGGGCACAGAAAGAGAGGTATCAGTGCAAGTGGCCCCTATAGGAAGGACACAAGAGCAGGCGGCCGCTAGTCACCAACAGGACAGCAAGGGCTGCAATCTTTGATGCCTCTGAGCAAATCGCCTGTGGTGGGGATTAGAGTGGCCTAGAAAAAGCAAGCACCATAGGGTGGGAGTGGGGGAGTGAGTTATTATATCTACTAATAAAACCTACTAATACAGACTTATTAAAAAAGCAATGGCTTGTTTTGTTTTTTTAACCTTAAGAACCAAAGAAAACTCAACTACATTCAATTCCGTTCCAGAAGCCACCAATCTATGACCTAGTAAAGGAGTAGGGGTTGAGGGGGAGGGGAAGTTAGGGCAGGACAAAAGAGGTGTGAGCTGACCAGGGAAGGTCAATTTGGCGCCGGGGTCAATGCACCGAGCACAGACCAAGGGTGAGGTCACTTGTTGGGACCCTGCGGGTGGTGCCGAGATATGGAGGAGACTGACTGGGCAGATCAGAACAGGTAGGGAGGCTGCTCCAGAAGTTGGGCGGCAGGATTCGCGCGCGAGAGCTCCCAAAGCAGGCGGGGCATCGGCCCTTCCGGGTGAGATGAAGGACCCTGGCGGTCTCCGGGACAAAGAGGGCGGTTAAAGAAGCCGCAGTTCGCGGGGCCTCCAGGTGTTCCCGGGCTGAAGCAGAGAAAGGGGCGTGCCTCGCCCTTCCTCGAACCTGCACCCGCCCAGAGCCCGCCATCGCTCTTACCTGGACCTACCTCCCTTCAAGCTGCAGACCGGGCGGGCTCCTGGGGGATCGCAGCGGGCCTGAAGTCCATGGCCCCGCAACCGCGGCGGGAGCGGAGGAGCTTTCGGGTGTGCAGGAGCCCGCGAGCAAGAAGGCGCGAGAGGCGGGGTTCAGCCGCCCCGCCTACACCCAGGCCGTGGTGCCCCGCCCCTGCCACCTGGGGGAGCCCTACCGCGCCCCCGCCACCTGGGGAAGCTCCGCCTCAGCGACCGCGTCGGAAGTGGGGTCGCCCGGAACTGCAGTCCCGCCGTTTCCTCCTCGCCTTGCGGCCCAGTGGTCGCCCCTCTTTAGTTCCGGCTCGGGACTCCCACCCCAGTCCCTGCACACCTCACGCGCCCGCAGTTTCGAGTCTTCAGGGATGACTCACTTGGCTGCCGGATAATTCCTTCCGTGAGCCTACGCTGCTCGGGCGCAGCTGAGGGTGGCCTCTGGCTCGGATTCACTGCTCCAGACCCCCAACCCACTCAGTCCCACCCCGCCCTCTCCCTGGTGCCCAATCGTCCTCCGAGTTACAAGCCACGCCCTGATCCGACTTGGCTCCCACCGCGGGGACCCCAGCCCAGCTTCTGCTTCCCTCAGCTTACAACTACCGCAGCGGCCTCCCTTGCCCCAGAAACCTTTCTGTCCCACTCAAATTTCTTGCAATGTCTTCTCTGCGCGCCCCCTGCACTGCCCAGTCCTGTGGCTTCCTCCCCCGCTTCTGCGCGACGGCCCGGGGCTCCCACACTCCGGAGCACACAGCCCCATTGTCCCGGTTATCTGCGCTTTGGTTATATTTGTTTGATTATGCAGGACCAGATCCGGGACAAGGAGCTCTGGGAGGGCCAGGCGGTGTGACTCAGCTGGGTGTCCAGGTCCAACCCTTAATTGCCTGTAGGATTGGAAGGGTGTTTGAGCATGAAGAAAGGGGACTTTGGTTTCCCTGATGGGTAAAAATGGGGCCCAGGGGTGCTGCTCTTGCTGGCCTCTTCCCTATCACCATCCCTGGGCAAAGACAGACATAAAGAATATATAGGGCGGTTTATTTAGAGGCCATCTGATCCCAGGCTGCAGGCACCACCAGGATGTGGGGTCTGGGTTGCCCATCTCCTCCAAGAATGGAATACTTGGAATCTGAGGAGGCAGGTGGGAAAGGAGGAGTGATCACAACCAAAGTAGTAAAACACACCCCATCCCTGAGATCAAAGTCTAAGGCAGACCCCAAGGATCTCATGACCTTGTATTGACCCTGAGTATTGACCCTGAGTGACCTATGAACCTGAGAGAGGCCCTGGTGCTTGAAACCACCTGTGTCTGGTGGGAAATTCCTGGGACACTGCCCCAAAAGTGTTTTAGGCCTCCCTAGGCCGTGTGGTCTTTCTTTATAGGTGGGGAGAGGTAAGGAGATATGGGTCCATCTTCTTTGTCCTGGGCTCCTTAGGATGGTCAGAGATGGTCTTCGGTTTCCTCAGGCTGGGGGTCTGGGCAGCAGGTCCTAGGCACAGCCTCACTGTCCAGCTTAGAGAGTAAGCGGGCAGTCTCCTGGGTGATCTCAAAATGCTTAGGCAGTGGGGTGCGTCGCAGGGTGCTGTTGTCAGAGGAGGCAGCAGAAGGGCCTGGCCCCCGCCCCCTCAGACTCCCTCTGTGCACTGAGATAGGGGCCTCCTCACACAGCTTGGAAGCCACCAGGGCCAAACTGGACAGTTGATGAGTAACAGGCCGCACACCTCCCCGCGGATACTTCACTGGCTGGCGGCTGAAATGGCCGCGGGACTGTGTTCCTAGGAGTGAGTCCTCAGGGCCTTGGCTGGACACTGTTGGGTGGGGTGGTCAGTGCTTAGTATCCCCAAGTCCTCTGGATCCCCCCACCCCCCATCTCTCAGCCAAGCTATCCCTCAGGAAGGATCACGCCCAGAACTCCTAAGCTACTCTCCTATACTCACCTTCCCCTTCCCCATTTTTGGTACCTTCAGCCACTTCCTCTCTTTGGTCACTCTGTAGAGCTGGAATCTGCAGGGAGAAACCCAAGAATGTGACCCCAATGATAAAATTTCAGTTAAGACTCTTGTTGAGCCAGTGGTTTATTCCTGGCCATGCAAAATCTCCTGTGCAATTTGGGGGCAGACTATGTTCTTAAAAGTCTTCTGCTTGCCCCTCCTGCAGAGTTCTGTGAAGGGGCAGTAACTTCCTTTTTCATCAGAGGGCCAGCCTATGGAGGGGCCTAGCCAGCTCCAATTCAGATTGGGTGGTGCCTCTGAGCTACTGTCTCCAACCTAGGCTATTCTCTGCACTTTTACCCACCTTACCTCAGCTTTCTAGTTTCTCTGTATATCCTCAATGTTCTTTTGCCAAATAGTAATGATGACTTGAACTCTATGTGTTGAATAATGAGCACATCACAAGCTATTCCATTTCTCATACTCACAATTCACAGCCTTTTCCTAGCTCTGCAGAAGGAGTCCTTAAGATGGTGGGTGTAGCAGGATCAGTGGAATAGGGGAGCCTCCTGTAGCAGTCCTGAGCACAGGCTATGGGCACAGACTGCCTGGAGTGGCTGTTGCTGCCATTTTCCTGATTCACAGCTGAGCTCTGGATTCTGGTGGGTGAGCCCCACTAGATTCTGACTGCCATGACTCCCCATCAGGGTCACTTAATTACTTAAATCCTTAGCTGTATCATCTTAGCAGTAAGTAGTTTTCACTAACAGTTATCTGCTTCTCAGAGCTGTGGCAAAGACAACAGGAAGCTTATATAGTGCCCATGAATAGTAGGTATGGATTCAATGATAGTCCATGCTCCATGCATAGTAAGAGTGGCCCATACCCCATACATAGTAGGTGCATAATTAGTGGCAGGGGGCAGAGCCATTGGGGTCAATCCTTCTTTGGACTCACTTCCTACCACTTTCCCATTGCTCATTCATTACAAGTGTGCTCTGACCATACCAGGCAAACTACCTCACGGCCTCTGACTAGCTGTTCTCTTTGACTGGGATACCCTTTCCCAGATTTACACCAGGCTCATTCCACCCTCATATCCTTTCAATTTTTGCTGAAATCTATCTGTTCTATAAAATCTGCCCATGTATTCTTATCTACTGCTATAAACTGCTCTCCATGCTGGCATAATGGCACATGCCTATAATCCCAGTGACTTGGGAGGCTGAGGCAGGAAGATCACAAATTCAGGGTCAGCTTAGGCAATTTGAAAAGATCCTGTCTCAAAAAACAGAGAGAACTGGGGATGTAGCTCAGTGGTAAAGTGCCCTTGAGTTCAATCCCCAGTACCCAAAACCAAACAAAACCCTCCAACCTGTTCTCTATTTATCAACCTGGTGTCTGGGTTGTCCCATTATTTGCTCTGTCCTTTCTTTCCTCCATAGTACTTGTCTCTGTCACCTTGTAACATCCTATATAACTGATTTTATATCATATTTGTTTATTGTTGGTCTTTTCCCACCCTACTAAAATGCAGATTCCAAGAGGATGATGTCTTAATTATTTAGCTTACTGATGTTTCTTAGAACAATGTTTGGCACAAAGTAAATGTTTGATAAATATTCTGTTGAATGAATAATTGCCCATGCTATACCTTTACAGAGTGTCCCCTGTTGTTACAATCACAGGTCGAGGTTAGCAATCACACGTCAAGGGAAAGGGATCCATTATTACCCACCCTTTCATTCCTCACTATTCCTTCCAGAATGAGCACAGAAGGGAGGAGAGAATGGAAGAAATTTTAAAGGTAAAAGAAGATAGAAAATGAGAGAATTAAACAGAGATAAGGCTCTCTCTGGATGTGTGGGTCCAATAGGCTCCTACCTTGGAGGATGTGGCCTCAGAATGCTCCTCCTGGGCACTATGAGACTTAGAGTCTGGGTCAGGGTCCGAGGCTAAGGCTGGGGACTGTGACTCTGAGTCAAGGAATGGGACTGGAGGTTGGGGGCTGGTTGTAAGGGGCCCAGGGGCTGGGCTGGGGTCTTGGGGCAGTGGCTCTGTGGCCAGGGGGAGCTCGTCCATCCCGAAGATCTGCTCGTAGTGCACAATGAGGAACTCAACAAGCTGAGCCTGGTGTCCAGAGTCTAGCAGGCAGGTGACAGGGCTGGTACCAGCTGCCCATGGACCATCTGGTGGCCGCAGAAGCGTTGGCCCAAATACAATTCCCAAGTTGTTGGCAGACATCTTGTTTTCTTCAAACCGTTCAGCCACCCTGGGGATGGTATGAGGAGAAGGATCAGGGTATGAGGTGCAAGATATCAGTTGAGGGTAAGGGTAAGATCTATAGGCCAGCCTAGTGGTGACTTGCCCATGTCTCAGGTAATTGATCCTGGTCATTGAGACCAGCAGCCACATGTCCAGAGATGGGAGTCAGGTATCAGTACCCAAAGTTGTGAGTCATGTATTAAGGTTCAGAGCTCAGAAAACATGTCAAAGATCAGAGGTCAGTATCAGGGGTTAGCAATCACATGTCAAGGGAAAGGGATCACAATTCAAGGCTCCAGGACCAATGCACACCTGAATAGATGGGCCACCAGGTGCCGCAGAGTGTTGTAGTTAGAGTCAGGCAGTTGTACCAAGAGAGTCTTCAGCGAGCAGATAACTTCAGGACTGGGGCTGGGGGTCCCAGGGTTGTCCCCAGAGTCTGCACGCAGGGTCTTAGCCAGAGAGATGAAGGCATCGTAGAAGTGGAAGGGGACCACAGGGTCGGTGAGCTGGAGGGAAAAGGGCAGATGTTCATGAGTATAGGTAGTCTGCCTAGGGTCCTCAGCCCCTGCCCATCCCCACCCTCCCAAGTCCCCTGAGTACCCACCTCCTGGAGAAACCGCTTAAGGACACTTGAGATGTCATGAGGTGAATTTCCTGACAGTTCCACCAGTGCTCGGCCATTCTCAAAGGCTTGGCACAGTCGCTCCACGCGCACCCGGGATCCGCTGACCCGGTAAATGCCCTATAGGGCATAAAAGACACCTGGCTTATGATCCAACCATCAATAGGGTAAAGTCATTTCTGGGGACAGTCTAGGGTCAAGGCAGCACCTGAACACTCAGGGCACGGTGTTCTATCTCAGCTGTGCATTTGGTGATCACAAAGGGAACCTCCTCTGGGAAGTCCCTGGGAAGCTGTAGAAAGTCGATCCCAAAGAGAGGTGTCCGGACTGGGAGCCGCTGGTGTCCGCAGAGGATCAGCAGGGTCTCCAGACATCGCTTATGACAGGTCAGGAAGCACTGGGGAAGAAAGTCACAGAGTGAGTGAGGTCATTGGGGGTCAGTGGGAAAAAAAGACAGTTGTAGGGATCCTCAGGGAATGAAGGGTATGTAGGAGATCATCAGTTCAGAGTGGGACCTGAGGGCAGGAAGGTTTTAGGGATCTTAGGTCATTAGGGGTCAACAGAGGTCATTGGATCATCAGTCCAGGACATACCTCTTCACACTCAGTCCCACTGACCATGAAGGCTTCACACTCTCGACATTTGGCTGGACCCCGCAGCCGCCGTAGCCTGTGGGTCTGAGCCGCAGTGGACAGCGTCCACTTCCTGAAAGGGCTGCCGAGCCCATTCTCCAGCCCATCTCCCACGTCTACAGGGAGACAGGGTCAGATTTGCCTGGTCCACTTCCCACCCTGCCCTACCCCACCTGCTTCAGTCTTACCAGGGTCTCGCTCCTCAAAGTCATCTGAAGATTCAGTGCCTGTGGACGAGACCTTCACCAGCCTCCGTGTACCAGGGCCTGGGGACAGATGGTTATAGAAGTTGGGAGTCACAGGGGTGAAGGGAGATTCCAGGTTAAGGACACACAGTCTTGGTTTTCAGAGCTTCCAGAACCTCCCACAGATGTTCTTGAGGAAAGGGCTCACAGGTCAGCAAGGAGTCAGAGAGGTCAAGGGTTAAGCATTAGAGAATGGGTCAGGCATCTGTGGGGTATTTATAAGTTTGATGATCAAGAGAATAGTTTGAGGAAATAGGCCAGGGCTGTGGGATAGGTCAGAGGTCAAGGACGGGTTAGAGATTGGGTCCGAGGTTAGCCAGGGGCTGGAGTATGGCCATAGGTGGGGAGTGGGTCAGGATCAGGTCCTATTCCTCACCTGGGCTGGAAGTGGGAGAGTCCAAGGACCGAGACTCACTGCTGCCACCCACACTGTCCACATCACTGCCAGGAGTAGGACCTGGAGTTCCTAGGTGCAGACAGGTCAGTAAGGATGGCCCCTAGCCTGGCACCACTCTTTTTTTTTTTTTTTTTTTATTTTTTAATATTTATTTTTTATTTTTTGGAGGACACAACATCTTTGTTTGTGGTGGTGAGGATTGAACCCAGGCCGCACGCATGCCAGGCGAGCGCGCTACCGCTTGAGCCACATCCCCAGCCCCCTTGACTGAAACCCTTTTATGTGCCACATGACTGTATATTATATAGTCTTGGTCTATTAAAAGAAATAAGCATATGTCCCTTTTTTCCTTTCTCTCCTCCTGGTAGACAAGGGATTGAGAGGCAATGAAAGCTAAGACATCTCAGAAGACAAGAGCCGTTATGGAGTAATGGTCTTGAAGAAGTCTGAGTCCCCCGCATATCAGTCCTGAAGTGCTTATGTTCAGATAGGGAGGGACATGGAGAAAAATAAAATTGTTTTGTGTTTATTTGGGTCTTTGTTAGTACAACTCAAGCTGCAAACTAATCAATGCAGTTTGTGTTCAAGAGCATAATCTTATTGTATTGTAATTATTTGTCTTAATTAGGACACTTTTATTATAAGTAGCCAGCCATAATAATAACATTAGCCTTACTAACATGCAGTAAATCTTTACTGTAATCCGAGGGCTGGACGTTTCGCCAAGTCTTGCCAATCTGGGACAGGAAACAGGGAAGCCATTAGTAGCTGAAGTTATTCTCATCTCTGCTTCAGCAAGCCAGATTTCTCTAAAGTGATATTGTGAAAAGCATATTTGGTTCCTATTTCCTGGCATACAACTCCTAAAATCCTTGGGCTCTCCAAAGTGAAAAATGTCCTTTTTTAATGCTAATGATTGACAGATGGCTGGGGCCTCTTGGGATAGCCAGAAGATGAATGGATGGAGGCCAGGGTGACCCATCTTGTGATTAGAGGGCTAGGACTTCCAGGCCCACCCTCCAACCTCTGGAAGGAGGATCTGAGGCTGTGTTGATCACCCATAGCCTATGATGTCTCAGTCATGCCCATGTGTCTACAGAAATTATGGGAGGCCATTATTGTGAACTGAGTTTCTGCACTAGATTGCAACTGGTAGGACCAAATCAAATAGGGTCACTCATCCTACCTGCAATGTAGCCAAACTAAAGCTTTAAGGAAAGAGATCCCCAAACAGAGCACTTTTCCTTGAAAGAGGAGATTCCAGACTACTTGAGTCAGCCTAATAAGGAAAGTCTCCTA